CCACAATAAGCAATTTAACTGTCACACTTACTTGAAAGGAGGGGAGGAGAGAAAGAAGGTTGTATTGTTTTAAGGTGTTGCTCATACTAAAATAGGACTCACTTTAAAATCCCCTTAGGGACCCAAGCATATATATTTAGCAATAGAAGATGGAAAATATAGCATAACAGTCTGCTTTAGAAAAGAAATGATGAGCCATACTTTTCCCTCTAGTATTTCCCCCAACACTGATGCTTTTAGGGAGACTAGACATGATCCTGCAAACACTTCTTCACCCAGTACTCCTTACTCAAATGTATAGTTGCATTAACTGGGATGGGGCTACTCTACATGAGTAAGGGTAGGCAGGATGAGAGTTGGGCAGAGGAATGTGCTGTATAGCTCCTACCCTGTCTTTTGATATAGGTAATTTGTTTCAATGGGTTTTGATTCCCCCTCCCTGCCATCTATTAAAAAGATGAAACTGTTCTTAATGCAATATAAATAAAAATCATTACAGAAATTCTTAAACTATAGAAAAATGTCAGCTTTAGGAAAATAGTTATCAACAAAATTACAAGTTTAAGGGTCACATTCTACACTTTAATCTTTGTAACTACCTATGAGTGTTAGAGTTCTGCTTGTGGTCTTTAACAGGGAAATTGCCTATAAACACTAGAAGTATTTAGTATCTAATAAGGCAAGAAACAGTTCACACAATGAAGAACCCAGTGGAAAAAAAATTGTTTGTCTGGCAATTCCATTACCCTACATAGATTTTCAAAGGAGAAAATCCAGCCAGGTCATTACAGGAATTCTATACTGAAAGATCTGTCAATTAGTAGCATAAAAATCTGAATTTTAAATATCTTGTTAATACCTAGTATCCCATTTACTACCCCATTGATGCATCTGACTTGTAGAGTAAGACTGAACTAAAAATTTAGGGAAACGCTGAAAACCTCTGGTGAACAATCACTCACACAAGTAGACCTCAGACTTTGATGGCAGTACTTATGTGAGTAATGTGGAATGAACAATCTGGACCTTAATCCTAACCTTTGATGCAGATGACACCTTAGAAAGTGATCTCCAAAACTCCAGTGATGACCAGGAACCGATGAAAATAAAAGCTAAAACTTCCTAAAACTAGTCTTACATGAATTCTAGATCTCAAATATTGTTACTCAAATCACTCATGAATACTTGAAATAAATGGTGGATTTACAGCCCTCCCTTAGCTAAATCCCTTGCAAAATTTTCATTGACATCAGAGAGTGTAGGTGTGAGAGCAATACTATGGTTAACACAATAAATAAATGACTGTCATTTACATTTCTCACTCTGACCTACATCATACTCAGCTATGTCTAGCTATTAAAACAATATGTACCATATGAAAGTCATCAGTGACATTCATGTTTCAGAAATTACACGTCAGCTATCATTGGAAGCAGGACCTTCACCCACTTCCATCTGGATGTTTAGCAAGAACAAGTTTTACAAACAACCAATATGATTTAAAAAAAAATTGTCATGCCGATTATGAACTTCAGGTTCCTATTTTGTGGTCTTAGAGAACGATACCTACATTTAATCTCTTTGAACTTCAGTAGTATCCCTTGAGACGTGTTTTGGCTCAGTCTTACAAACTCAAGTTGGAAGCCAAGAAAGCCAGCATTTCTATACAAATTTTATTCAACACCTAAAATGTTAGACTATATGAGTCAGAATTACAATAGCAAATAGATTGATCCCATGTTTTCCAATGCTGAATAGCTTTCATCAGTATTTCCTCCAAATTTTAATATAATCAGAGAGTATAAAAATCAAAAAATAAAATTCTAAATTCACATGAAACCTCAATTAGTATAAAAATAATCACATCACAGTCTGTTTTCCAAATACGTATATTCAGTAGAACTGAATTCAACAGAACTGGCACTAGTTTTTTAAGGCACCCTAATTTCTATGTGTATTTTAATGGATCTTGGAATGAATTTGTCATATTCCATTTTACTGATTTATTATAGAGCATAAGTGTTTTATGGGTCTGATGCTGACACACAGAATTGTATGGCACAGTGTCACCACATTGTTGCCAAGTCCTTTGCCTCACATTCCCTTCTTCTTTGAGACTGTGGCACCTTTCAATATTACAATAAAAGACAACTGCAAAGCTGTGAGGAAATGAAAATACCTTGGAAGTGCTAGCATGGAACACATTTTCTTTCAGGGGGAAAGAGAGGGGATGGGAGACGGGACACCTCTAAAGGAACAGAGAACCTGAATGGCATCTCATGAGTTCAAGCACTTTCCCCCTCTCTTCGGCTTTTCTTCCTTGTGGTACTGTTCTTTCCCCTCAAAATCTGCTATTTTCCATACAGAAAAGAGAGGAAAAAATAAATCGGCTTCTCCTCTTTCCCCTGAAAACCTCCCACATGCTGTGGCTGGCCTCCCTTTCATGCCCCACGAGACTACGACATTCTCTCTCTCTCTCTCCTGGCACCATAACTCCATCTACTGCTCATCTCTCCAGCAGGATCAGCGGCCAGCAAAGAAGTCTACAGAGGGAGATGGAAGTCCTTCTGTAGCTGAAATTTTTTATATCCCCAGCAGGGGGCCACTAAGGGAAGACAGGAAAGGGTACAAAAAGCTGTCTCCCTCTCTTCCTCAGTGATTCCTTTTATATTCACAAATGAAAGAATGAAGTTGAGAAAGTATCAGTACAGCAGGGAACATGGTTGAGAGAAGAATCAAAATGTGCACGTCAGCTTGGAAAGGTGGGAGAAACACTGGGGGGAAGGAAACAGAGCAGCATTGCATGTGAGGAAAAATACTGAGGGAAATGAAGAAAATTACTAGAAGTGAGTGTTATTATTTATATTGCAGTAGCCTCCAAAGGCCACAATCAGGATCATGGCTCCATTGTGCTACACATTTTACAAAAAGATGGAAAGACATGATCCCTGTCCCAAAGAATTTACAATCTAATACAAGAGGCAGGGAAATATTGGGGGAAAGAGAAAAGTATGTGTGTGTGTGTGTGTGTTGGAGATATTGGTGGTGAGGAGGAGCGATCAGAAATGGCAGAGGAAGAGATCTTAGAGCAAAAGAGACCAGGAGTTTTGAGTGGGGAGGAAATCTTAATGATGGCATGGAGAGACCAGGATTACATGGGGAGAGACTGATGTGAGGAGACCACGAGTGTGTGTTGGGAGATCTTGGGAAAGTGACTCCAGGAGAATGTGTGGTGGGGGGGAACTTTTGGTGGTGGAGAGGGAGAGACTAGTACTGGATCAGTGGGAAAATCTTGGGATGGAAAGAGACCAGAAGTGGGTGTGTAGGAGAAGAGAACTTGGGTGAGGAGAGAGAAAGAGACCTGTATTGTGTATGGGAGGAGATCCTGGAGGAATAGACCAACAGTGTGCAGGGGAAGACTAGAAGCAAGTGAGTTGGGGGAGAAGGGGGACATGGATGGGGAAGGAGACCACGTCTGTCTGTGGGGGAGATTTTTGGGGTAGACCCAATGTCTACCCTGGAAGAGATTTTTTGTGGAAGTACAGATGTGTCTGGGGTTGAGGAGATATGGTACAGGGACAGAGGGGTGTCTGAGGGAGATTTCTTCAATGTTGGGCAGAAACGTGTGCAAGTGGGAGAGAGCTAGGGGAACAAGAGTTTGTGTAAGGGAAAGAGGAAGTGTGTGTGTGTGTGAGAGAGAGAGAGTGAGAGAGAGAGAGAGACAAGAGTATGATCCCTGTCCCAAAGAATTTGGGGACAAGAGTATGTTTGTGCTAGAGAAAGAGAGTTCAGGGAATACAAGTGTGTGGGTGAGAGACAGTCTGGAGACAGGAACAAATGGTCTGTATGGTCTATGGGTGCTGCAGAAAGTTCAGAAAGCGGGATGGATGGGAAAGAAGCAAGTGAGAAGTATGGGCAGATAACAAAAGAATGGAATTATAGTGTGAGTGAGAGAATGAAAGAAATGTGTAAAGTAGGGAGACACACACAGGACAAGAAAGAAAGGAAGGTGAAGGACCGGAGTGGATGGGAAGAAAAGAGAGGGAAGTATTATACAGTACTGAAAAATCAGATTAAAGAAAACCAAACTGGGAACTATGCAGAAAAGGATACATAAAGATACACCATGAAAGGCAAGGAGAAAAAAAGGAAGGAAGAATATGCACAAAGGAGACGTAGTTAGTAACAATATTTCTTAATGGAAAGCATAATGTAAAAAATAAAACTGAAAAGTGGAGTGGATTAGAATAGGAGTTGGAAATGGGGAGCATACACTGAAATCTCACTATGGCAGCAAAATTCCTAGGGTTAGCCCTGCCTGGGAAGCTATTCATTTTAATTCGCTTTTCTACATTTTAAAAAAAAAAAATCTCCTTCTTGGCTCTCCCCACCCTCCAACTTTAGTCGCACCTAAATGGCATTTATTTAGCCATTTCTAGTAACAAGCATTCAGTTATGCTTAAATGAGAAAAAGATCAGCTTTTGTGCTTAAATATTTAACATGGAAATATACTAACATAGCAAGTTTCCCTCCCCCCCTTCTTCCACATTCGACTCTCTTTCATTCATTCTTCCCCTTTGTTTAAAAAAAGAAAGCCAGGAAGACATCTGAAGTCAAAGGTATCCCTGCAGCTTTCTCCGAGCTGTCTGGGTATGATCTACCCTAGCGCCTTTTATTATGCCACTGGCTTGTGTTTAGGGATTCGTATCTTCCCTAGAAGAGAGGTATATCCCGGCCACAATGATGTGGTCTAGCTCTGGGCTGCCGAGGATAAGGGGATTCTCAGGCTAACAGGCATCCATCAGGCAAGGGAACTCGGCTCCGAGAGCTGGCTGCTGCAGGAAAGCAAAGCCAATGTGCATGTGTGTCTTGGCTGCTCCGGAGACATGGCTGGGGAGCTGTTTTACTGAAGCAGCCCAAATATTGGGGAACAGCCTTGGGAAGAAAGAGAAGGAGGGAGGAAACACACACACTCACACATACACCCGGCTGATCTTACCTCCACATTGAAATACTGCTCCGCTGTGCACACGGGGGCACATAAAATCCAAAGCAAGGTTTGCAAGAAAAACACCCTGGGATGATGTACGAAATCCAACCGGCTTCCAGCGCTGAATGCGAGTAAGAGCATAGTGAACTGCGCCTCAGTGGATGGAAGAGCCCTCTTTCCCTCCGCTCTCTCTCCGTCCCCTCACACAAACAAACAGTCCCCAGTGTTGGTGGAGAACCCTAAAGACAGGTTCACCCACAACAGGGGAGGAGGAGGAGGAGGAGAAGAAACAGACACTTCACTCCACAACACAGATAGCAGCAGCAGCAGCAGGGTCAGCTCTTACTCATCTTCGGTCCCGTAAGGGGGGGGAATGTGGCGTCCAAGTACAGCTGCAGCTCCTACAAGGCTTTTCCCTTTGCACAGCAGCCGCCTCTGTGTCCTCCTCCTCCTCCCCCTCCTGCTCGGCAAGGCCTTTGCTGCCTGGCTGCCTGTGCTCCCCTGCCCTGCCTGTGCTTGTGCCTCTCCTCTCTCTTCTCTCCTCCACTCCAGAATGTTCATCTGTAATCTACATAACTCCTCCTCCAGGGTCAGCCTCCTCACAGACATCTTAAAGGAGACAGTCCTGGAAGGCTGTCTGTCTGTCTGTGCTGGAATGGACCTGATCCCCCCTCTAAGGCAGGAGCTCTCTTACAAGCTGCTAGAACTGTTTGAATGAACAGATTTCCAAGAAAGGGAGTGGGATGAGTGAGTTTAACACACACACACGCACACGATTAATCCCTAGTTAGGAACTCTCCTGCCCAATGAAGTTTGACAAATCTGTAAATTCCTTAAGTCCCTCAATTCATAGGAATGTGTTGGAGCCCACTTCTCCGTTTTCATCAACTGCCCTGCTTGCCAAATATACTGTGACACCAAATTGTATGTGAGGGACAAAGTTAGCTTCTGTTTATATACTGCCCAGCCCCCTCCCTGTTAAGAACACCTCTACACAATTCTCTATATGCACCTTTCATATAAAGCTCTCTATACATTCCCTAATGTCCACTTGTAGTATAATTATCTTTATATATCCCACATTATACACTACCTTTACACAGCCCTCTTTATAGACCTTTGCTGTACAGCTCTGGATACACTTCTCATTATGACCAACCTCAAGACAAGACTGATTTTATGAAAAATTGGTTCTGTCAAATTAACTTGATTTTTTTTTTTTTTTTTTTTTGGTAATGAGATCACAAGTTTGGTTGATAAAGGTAACTCTTGCAATAACAAACTTAGACTTTTATAAGATATTTGACCACACATCCTGATTTAAAAAATAGCATTATACAAAAGCAATGCAGTGCACAGTAAATGGATTAAAAACTGGGTATAGCTTCCTGATGAGCTCCCAGTGCGACTGTGTGGCCAAAAGGAATAAAGTGATCCTTGGATGCATAAACAAGGGTATCTTGAGTAGAAGTAGAGAAGTTATTTTACCTCTGCATTTGGCACTGGTGCAACCACTGCTGAAATACTGAGTCCAGTTCAATTCAAGACGGATGTTGATAAATTGAAGAGGATTCTGAGAAAAGACACCAGAATAATTAAAGGATTGGAAAACATGCCCTTTAGTGACTGACTCAGGGAGCTCAGTCTATTTAGCTTAACAAATAGAAAGTTAAGGGGTGACTTGATTACAGTCTAAAAGTACCTACATGGGGAACAAATACTTGATAATGGGCTCTTCTAGCAGAGAAAGGTATAACCTGATCCAACGGCTGGAAGTTGAAGCTAAACAAATTCAGACTGAAAATAAGGCATAACATTTTTACAGAAAGAGTAATTAACCATTGGAACTGATTGCCAGGGGTCACACTGGATTGTCCATCATTGCCAAATTTTTAAATGAAGATTGGATTTTTTTCTGAAATATATACTCTAAGAATTATTTTGGAGAAGATCTATGGCTTGTGTTGTACAGGAGGTCAGAGTACATGATCACAGTGTTCCCTTCTGGCCTTGGAATCTATGATAGAGATCAGAATGTAAATGTTAATGGGGCATGGTCATTAAATGGGGGTTACTGGGGTCCCACAAGGATATGTTATTGGCCCAGTGCTGTCTATTATCCTTATCAGAGTGTGACAGACTGACAATATCCTGTAATATCCCAAACAAACTTTATGGGATGAAGATAAAGTTTATTTAATTAAACCTTATTGAATGAGGGTTGAAAAATCTGGAATGGTTCAGACTAGGAGTGCATGAGTATGTATGTATGCTTGGGTAGAAGAGGCCTAGGAGCGTGTAAGGCAAAGGAGATCTTCAAAGAGAGAAATACCATCCGGAGTGTTTGTATGGGGGAACAAACACTAGAAGTGTGTGTGGTGGAGAAGGATCACAACTATATATATAAACAAAACAAAAAAACAAACAGCTACCACAAAAAAGCACTTAGCTGCACATCCTTCTCCTCATGTGAAGAGGGCAAAACACCAACACATGACAGATGTTAGTCAAGCTGCTTAATGCGCTACTGGAAGGCACTCAGATACTACGATGACGAGCACAGAATAAGAACCTATATACAACAGAACACTGCAAACTGGAGACAGGAATGTGTGTGAGTGCCTCGCAGAGAATGGGGGAGCTGTAAGGGACTAGGGTACAAGAATCTGCGTCAGAGCAAGAGGCAAGAGAAAATGTGTTTGTGTATATAAGGGAGAGAGCTTGGGGACAACAGTGTATTTATGTGCGATTGTGAGAGAGAGAGACATCTATCTTGCATATGTTGGACTTTCACCATGTGCTCTTCATCCACATGAGGATCTCTGCAAAGTACCAAGATAGCTGGGATATGGTGGTGTTTACATCTTATGTCCAGAAGCTGTAGAGCAGAGTATTAATGCTGAGACTTCAGCTGTGTTCTCACCAGCACCACCAAGACTTCATGGAGAAATTGAAGAAGATGAGGGCTATAGAGGCAGAGGAACTGTTGCCCATCATGAACCTCTAACTCTAACTCTGACCAAAGAGGAATGACTCAAGCTATTTCAGGTTTGAAAGTTTCATTCAGAAACAGGTTTAGTTCCCAATTCAGCCAGACTTCCTCTGTGACTTAGATTAAGAGACTTGCCCATGCCAGGTCTCACTTCCCCATCTGCAAAATGGAGAGAGTATTTCCCCTATCTCACAGTGGTTTGTGAGGCTAAAATCCATCAATGACATTATGGTGCTTAGGGCCATTTCAGTAGCTAGTAAAGGTGTTTCCCCACAGCCTCTTGGAGGCAAGAAGAAGATGGCTGATGGGAGAAGAAAAAGAGGGAAATGACTATACAATGCTGAAATTTAGGACTGGGGAAAAACACACTATAAAAGATAGAGAAAAAGATACATTAACAAAGGAAAAATTTCTGAAGGAAAAATGTGGTAACAGTAAAAATTAAGTACTTCATGAAAACATGTTTTAAAAATTATTAGAATGGAGTTAGAAATGGGGTGTAGCTATGGAAATCCCAGTGGTGCATTCATATTCCTAAGTCAGGTGCTACTCACCTCGTCTGCATGTATCCTCACATTTAATTTTATTTTCTAAATTTTAAAACACAATTATTCCTCTTGGTTCCTCTTCCCTCCCCGCATAATCTCCACTCTTCAGCTTTTGTTATGTGGCATTTTACCTCTAAAAATAGGTGCTCCTAACACAGGAAAGACTCCTTTTTAAACCTCAGATCTCCCAACAATTTCTCCACATTCATGACTTCAACTCAAGGGCTCTTTATGCCTGTGCACTCACAAATGAACCAGATGGCACTGGGATTGTGACAATGATTACTCACTCAGCTTGTGGTAATGCTGTAATGCCAGTTCAATAATGATTGTAAAATCTTAATAGTTTGTGTTGAATATCATCCCTTTAATTTATGTGAGGCACCTTGAGTATGAGATAGGTGTTGTTAAAAGCTAAAGAAAGAAACAAAAATAAATAATGCTCAGTAGCAACAGGCGACTCGTACAGAAGCTGAGGAGCGAACAGCAAGGAGACCTGAGAGGATATTCCTGCACAGCAGAACAATTTGTGAAAGGACAGAAACTCCTACAACTCTTCTAAGAGCATCAACAGATCTCCCAGAGGATGCCAGTTGGTCAAGAAAGAAGCAAATAGGCAGCTATTTAGGATAAAAACAAAGGGTGGGATGTCCCATACATGGTTTCATGGGACAAGGATAAGACCCCTATAACTTTGTGTCAAGATGCACCTAAATTCTGAGGCATGTTTCCTGCATTTTGTGGCACCCAGGTTCAGAGGAATGGAAATTCTGCAGAAGCTTAATTTAAATTTTAAAATTGACTTTTTTTTAATGAATCAATTAAAAAGTAACAAACAAGCTTACCATGTTAAGTTCCTCCTGTGTGGTTTATTTTGTTGTCAAATTAAATTCATTGTACGCTCCCCCCCCCCACCCCCATTATCAGCTTTCAGTGTTTTTGTATTGACACTATAACAACATAAAAGAAGTTGTTGGTGGAAACTGAGGTTTTGACAGCTAGCAGGACAGTTTTGAAATTTGGCTACTAAAGAGTTATTTGGGGATTATGGTGTGAGTCCTTGAGCTGGATGCTTCTGCCAAAATGAACAGCAATAAAGTAGTTAAAGTTGACATTTAAGTCAAAATCAGTAGATTTCAGTTAATAGCTAATGAGATGAATGGTTTGATTTGCACCTTTCAGAGCTGTTGTGCTGTAAATTTGGGAAGACAGTGCATCAGATTGCACTTGCAATCGGGCAACATCAGATATCCTTGCCACCATGACAGCAAAACACTTTTGTCTAACGCAAGCTTAAATTCTGGAGCAAAGTTCTACTGCAAAAGCAGCCCAAAAGGTGAACTCACTGGCCTCAGAATCACTGAATACCTGGGGCTCCTGAGTCAGAGCATCTTAATTTACAGACTACTTGTGAGAGATTTGGGAGCAATGTAGGAACTATTTAAAGAAAGAAGATTCCACACTGTTCTGGTAAGAAGAGAGCACCATTAATAACAGGAAATGAATTTGAAGAGAGTCCACTTGCAAAAAAACATGTGAAGAAGCCAACCTGCAAGAACCAAGGGAGAGAACCCACCTAAGAGAGTGGTACCTATCTCCTAGAGATAGGCCTGCAAGTGACAAGGGAAAGGCCTTCTCACATAGAGGGTTCATAGTGCATGGATCCAAAATTATGTGTTTTTATTGTATTGTTTGAGAAATAGGTGATCATGTAATCAACGACTGTATAGTAATACATATGTACAAGGGAGCAGCATTAATTTCAGACCTAAAAGTTGCAATTCTTCAACGAAAAAACTTCAAAAACATACTCCAACGAGAGACTGCTGAATTGGAATTAATTTGAAAACTGGATACAATTAACTTAGGCTTGAATAAAGACTGGGAGTGGATGGGTCATTACACAAAGTACAACTATTTCCCCATGTTTATTTCCTCCCCCTCCTCCCCCCCCCCCCCACCGCCTGCTGTTCCTCAGACATTCTTGTCAACTGCTGGAAATGGCTCACCTTGATTATCACTACAAAAGCCTCCCCCCTGCCCTGCTCTCCTGCTGGTAATAGCTCACCTTACCTGATCACTCTCCTTACAGTGTGTATGGTAACACCCATTGTTTCATGTTCTCTGTGTACATAAATCTCCCCACTGTATTTCCCACT